GAGGGGTTTGGGGGTCCTTCTTGGGTTGGGATGCAACTCTGAAAAGGCCCAAAAACTACTTCCATTTGTATCATTTCCTTTTACCACTCCTCTGAAGTACAGTTCCCACCACACTAACTGAGCTTTTCTGTCTGCAGTCTGCGAATGAGGCATTTCAGGCCCCGTTTAGTTGGCAAGACCAAGGCAATAACAGCAGAGATTTCAGGAAGTCCTATCATTATAGTAACTACAGGCGGTTCTCAATTTACGGCCACCGCTGGGCCCCAAATATCCGTCGCTAAACAAGACAGGCGTTAAGTGAGTTTTGCTTCCTTTGATAACCTTTGTTGCCACATTTGTGAAGTGAAGGACTGCAGTTGTTAAGTTAGTAACACGATTGTTAAGTGACGCCTTCCTCATTGTCCCAAAGGTGCTTTTTTCACGACTTTGTTTTGCTTTGAAGACGTTTCGCTGCTCGTCCGAGAAGCTTCTTCAGCTCTGACTGGATGGTGGGGGGGAAATGGAGGGATTTATACTCCTTGCAGACAGCTGCTGATAAATCCTTCCATCTCCCCACCATCCGGTCAAGAACCGAAGAAGCTTCTTGGATGAGAAACGTATTCAAAAGAAAGTCCAGTTGCCTCGTTAAAAAAAGCACCTTTGGGGCAACCACGACCTGGATGACTGAAACTCTCCACAAGGCTTCCCCAATGACTTTGCTCGTCATAAGGCCTCAAAAGACGATCGCGTGGCTCCGGGACGCTGCAAATATCAGTCAATTGCCTAGCAAACTGGTGGCGAACCTATGGCACAGGTGCCAGAGGCGGCACTCAGAGCCCTCTCTGTGGGCACGCGCGCCGTCGCCCCAGTCCTAGGCCTTCAGCTGGGTTTTATAAAACCTTTTCGCTTTAGGCCTCCGCCGCCGTGTGCAAAACGAAACGGTTCAATCAATCAGTCAATTTCAACTTCTCACGGGGGAAAAAAAAAGATCTTGCAAAGTTGGAATTGATTGATTGAACTTTTTAGTCCCACCCAGTCTGCCGTTACCACCGCAGCCACGCCCACCCCATGGGCCACACCCACCCGGCACCTGACGATGCATAAGTGGGTTTTGGGTTGCAGTTTGGGCACTCGGTCTCTAAAAGGTTCGCCATCACTTGGCCTAGCGTCTGGATTTTGATCACGTGACCGTGGGGGGAATGCCGCGACGGTCGTTAAGGGTGAAAAAAGGCCATTTTTTCCCAGTGCCGCTGTAACTTCGAACGGTCACTAAACAAGCGGTTGGTAAGTCGAGGACTCCCTGCAGAAGAGCTGGGAAATTGTGCAAGGAACTTCGCAGCCTCGGTCAGAGGGGAGTTAATTAAAGCCGATTCCCTTTTAAGCTCTTCCGGTATCTCTCTCTTCCCCCCACACACCTGGGCTGAGTTCAGGGTTCGAGAGAAGTCTTCCCGCCAACTTCCTGGCAGCTTTCCCTAACAATATCTCACGGCTGTATTTTTCTCTTTAAGAAATCTTGGATTGCAAACAGGGTGGGTGGGAGGGAGGGGAATCAAAGACTCCTAGGGTGGAAAGGGATTTTGGGGAGGGGGGGGTCTTCTGGTCCAACCTCCTGGCCAGAGGGGAAATCTTCGGAGCCCCCAAGACAAATGGCTGGCCAACCTTGGCTTGCAGAGCTGCAGTGATGGTGAACCTGTAGGGCTATCTTAGTTTAGTGGCCCTTCTTCTGATCAAGAAATTCCTCCTTATTCAAGCTTGGATATCCCTCAGTAGACTTCCCTTCTGCAGCGGTTCTTGTCTCTCCCTGGGTGCTGTGAGTAATAAATCCACCTCTCTTCCCCCCCCCAGAGAAGTCTGACAGCCCTTCGCATATTATCCAGAAGTTCCACCGTCCTTGTTATTCTCTTTTCTTTCTTTCTTTCTTTCTTTCTTTCTTTCTTTCTTTCTTTCTTTCTTTCTTTCTTTCTTTCTTTCTTTCTTTCTTTCTTTCTTTCTCTTTGTTTCTTTTTCTGTTCCTTTCTCTCTTTTTCTTTCCCTTTCTGTTTCTTTCTCTCACTCTCTTTTTCTTTTCTTTCTCTTTTTTCTTTCTGTTTCTTTCCTTTCTCCTCTTTCTTTCTTTCATTCTTTCTGTTTCTTTCCCTTTTCTTTCGCTTTCTTTTTGTTTTTCTTTCTGTTCCTTTCTCTTTTTCTTTTTTTCTGTTTCTTTCTTTCTTTTTTTCCCCCTTTCTGTTTCTTTCTCTCACTCTCTTTTTCTTTTCTTTCTCTTTTTTGTTTCTGTTTCTTTTTCTTTTTATTTCTTTCTTTCTCTTTCTCTTTTTGTTTCTTTTTCTGTTTCTTTCTTTTTTCCCCTTTCTTTCTGTTTCTTTCTCTCACTTTTTCTTTCTTATTTCTTTCTGTTTCTTTCTCTTCTTTCTTTCTTTCTTTCTTTCTTTCTTTCTGTTTCTTTCCCTTTTCTTTTGCTTTCTTTTTGTTTCTTTTTCTTTCTGTTCCTTTCTTTCTGTTTCTTTCCCTTTTCTTTTGCTTTCTTTTTGTTTCTTTTTCTTTCTGTTCCTTTCTTTCTGTTTCTTTCTCTCACTCTCTTTTTCTTTCTGTTTCTTTCCCTTTTCTTTCGCTTTCTTTTTCTTTCTGTTTCTTTCTCTCTCTCTTTTTCTTTCTTTCTTTCTTTCTTTCTTTCTTTCTTTCTTTCTTTCTTTCTTTCTTTCTTTCTTTCTTTCTTTCTTTCTTTCTTTCTTTCTTTCTTTCTTTCTTTCTTTCTTTCTTTCTTTCTTTCTCCTTAGCTTCCCTCTGTGGCAACCCGAACAGTACAGGTAGTCCTCGACGTACGACCACAATTGAGCCCCAAACTTCTGTTGCTAACTGAAACATTTGTTAAGTGAATTTTGCCCTATTTTCTTGCCTCGGTTGTTAAATGAATCGCTGCAGTCATTAACTTAATGACACGGTTGTGAATCTGGCTTCCCCACGGGACTTTGCTCGTCAGAAAGATCCTAAAAGGAGATCACACAACCCTTGGAACCCTGCAACCGTCATAAATAGGAGTCAGCTGTCAGCGTGCCTGAATTGTGATCACATGATCGTGGGGATCAAGTGTGAAAAACGGTCAGTTAGGTCCCTTTTTTTTCAGTGCCGTTGTAACTTTGAATGGTCACTAAATGAACCGTTGTAAAGCGAGGACTACCTGTACAATCTCCCAGGTTGGGATTATGTGGCAGTGATCCTCACTGGCGTTAATTCAGGGTTCAGTTGTGTTGTTTGAAGTTCAGGCAGTTTTGTCAGTCCTGGAATTTGGGGATAAAACTAACCGAGGATGATGGACTCTGTGACTCTGAGCCTCGGTTAGTTTTGGAACTGAGTCGGTGATAACCAGGAATTATCCCTCCGGTTCGCCCTATCACACTAAACGCAGGGGTAGGCCACCTTGGCTCTTTTATGACTTGTGGACTTCAACTCCCAGAATTCCTGAGCCAGCATGAGGGAACTATGGCCCCCTCATGACTTGTGGACTTCAACTCCCAGAATTCCTGAGCCAGCATGAGGGAACTATGGCCCCCTCATGACTCGTGGACTTCAACTCCCAGAATTCCTGAGCCAGCATGAGGGAACTATGGCCCCCTCATGACTTGTGGACTTCAACTCCCAGAATTCCTGAGCCAGCATGAGGGAACTATGGCCCCCTCATGACTTGTGGACTTCAACTCCCAGAATTCCTGAGCCAGCATGAGGGAACTATGGCCCCCTCATGACTCGTGGACTTCAGCTCCCAGAATTCCTGAGCCAGCATGGCTCAGCTTTGAAACCTCTCCCTTTCCCCTCAGCATGGCTGGCTCAGGAATTCTGGGAGTTGAAGTCCACGAGTCATAAAAGAGTCAAGGTGGCCTACCCCTGCGCTAAAGCATCCTGTGCTTCGTTTGTTTTTGATTCTGTGTGTTGTGTGGATGCACATCCCGCATCTGTATTGCTTCCGGTCCAGTCCTAACAATTTTATTGGAAATGTTCCTTTCTAGTTTGTGCAAAGAACCAAAGACAGAGCCTCCTCCCCTGCCCCCAGTTATAGATCTTTATAGCTGAGTGTGTATGTGTGTATGTAGCTTTAGTCCTCTCCAGGTAGACTCAATATGTTGGCTTCTTGCTGCTTTTTTGCTGGGGTTGGTTTCCTTTCAGACGTTTCTTTACCTGGCTGGGTAACATCATCAGTGCGTGTGGGAGAGTTGATACGCCATTGGGGTTACTCAAGTCACTTCTGATCATTTAAGTTTTCTAACTAATAAGAAGTTAAATCCTCAATTTGAGTGATGTTTTGGGATTCTTAATTCACAAAGCAATATGTGTTGAGTTTCAGGCTTCTACGTGAGGGGCAGCAATAAATAATTCTGACGGGGAGCCCAACCTTTTTTATTATTATTATTATTTTTACTTCCTAATCTTGCTTTTTACTAATACAGGTAGTCCTCGACTTACAATTTACAACCACTTACGACCACAACTGTGCCCAAAATTTATGTTGTTAAGTGAGAAAT